TGAACTTGTAAGGCCACCTATCTCACATAGTAATGCTAGGTGGATCCCAACAACCAATAGAAACAACAGCATGGTTGGCTGGGGAATTCTATAAGTTGAAGTCCACGAGTCTTAAAGTTGCCAAGGTTGGACACCCCTGTCCTAGCCTAATGCCTGGGGGGGGGGGGAGAGATCTTCACAGCCTTCCAGAAGGCTAAGGTAAAGTTAGCTAAAGTAAAGGCTAAAGTTCTGGATTCACTTGATCATCCCCAATTTTACTTGAGAACCTTTGTTCTTATCAAGGTTCAAGAGCCTAATAAAAGCCATGCAAATGCTCACAGAAATTATGTTTTGCTAGACCAGTGGTTCTCAACCTTTTTAATGCCGCGACCCCCAACCGGTCGTAAGTTGAGGATTACTCAACCGGTCGTAAGTCGAGGATTACTCAACTGGTGCAGCACCGTTTGCAGAATGGGACTTTTGGCGGGCTCAGCAGGGCAGAGACAGCCTGGACAATTCCTATTGGCTTTTGAAAGCCAATAGAATTAGACTCTATTCAAGAGAGTCTATTCTATTGGCTTTCAAAAGCCAATAGAATAAAAGGGAGTAGCACAGCTAAGGAAAAGGGGAAAAAAATGGCGGACTGCGTTGTTTGGCAACCCCCGTGAAATGGTTGTTTGACCCCAAATGGGGTCCCGACCCACAGCTTGAGAACCACTGTGCTAGACTGTAATAATTATATATCCAACATGAGATCTCTAAAGTCAATTCTCAAACAGTAGCAGGAAAAAAAATAATGCAAGAGTAGCTTCAATATCAGCTGAAAAAAAGTTAACACTGAAATGTAACTTCAGATCAGAGTTAAGCTATTTGCTGTGGATATTTGCATTCGCCCTTGAGAAAGATGCAAATCTGCTTTTACAGCTCTGAAAACAACAGCATATTCTCACTTGAAAGGTAACAGCAAACTCCCAATTAGCATAGCAACATAACTATTATACAGCTATTTTCGGAAAGAAGAATTAGAAGTTATTTTAGTTTAAACTCCCCAAAGGTAAGTGCTGTGCAAATGAAACTGGGTTCACCTTCAGTGTCAAAGAATCAAAAGGCTTCTCATGGAGAAAAAAAAAACATTTATGTAAATGGAAACTATACTGCATACACCAAAGCCAACATTTCATTTAATGCTTGAAAGTGGAAAAACTACAAAGTATTATTATCTTGGACACTAAAGTATATTTCATAAGGAGAACACTTGCAACTAGTGTCTATTTTTGGTTGTATCTGTTATATTTTTAAATTCAATAACAGAAATACTCTGGGCAAAGTATAATTTGCCTAATTAAGCATTTTCTGATAGAAAAGCAACAGTTTTTCTGTGAAGTGAAAATAGATGCCTTCAGCCCTATGCTTTCATGGACATATCCATGCTGCTTTCTTGGCAATAGTACAAAAGTAATCTGCTTTTGTCTTTTTCCAGGAATTGTTTTCAACTTCTCAGTCTAATCCAGAGTCCTTGTGGTCTCCTATCCAAGTACTAACTAGCCAGCTATATTCATTTCTGACCCCAGGTTTACGCAGATGCTATCACCCACTGAAGCAAAAACTTCTAAATCAGAAGAAAAAAAAATTCAAAATCTATATTAAGGAAAAAATTATGATGAAGCAAATTTTAGGGCTAAAAGGAACCATGGAAATCTTCTAGTTCAAATCTCTGTGCCCAAGGCAAGTTATCCAACCTTTTCTTGAAAACCTTGGATAGTCATTGTCCGAGATGGTATGAGAGGACAGGGGATTGGACACAGGTCACAAATAATAGAAGAGAATATCTGTAACTCATAGACATCGTGTGACGTATCAGAACTCTTTCCTCATTGCCGGCAATGGGGTGGGCACGGTTTCCTCGTGACATGTCCAGCCCATGGGCCGGCAGTTTGACATCCCTGTCATAGATGAACTGTGCTTTGATGATATTACCTAGTTAAGGAATGAAACATCTGCAAACAAACTCAGAGAGCACTGAGGACAAGCTTTCTCTACCATTCTTAATCAGATTGGGTATTAAGGGGAGAAAAGGTTGGGGGGCAGGATATTTATCTCATTAAAATAGAAGAAAAACATTTTACGAGCTGAGATGCTTAAACTTCATTAGGATACAATCAAAGTTGAAAATCTGAATGCAATGCTAATATGCATTATCTGTACAGGTAGTCCTCAACTTACAACAGTTCATTTAGTGACCTTTCAAAGTTACAACAGCATTGAAAAAAGTGAGCTATGACCATTTTTTACACTTATGACTATTGCAGCAGTGCTGTGGTCACGTGATTTACATTCGGATGCTTGGCAACAGGTTCATATTTATGATGGTTGCAATGTCCCGGGATCATGTGATCCCCTTTTGTGGCCTTTTGACAAGCAAAGCCAATGGGGAGGCCAGATTCACTTAAAAATGGTCTTACTAATTTAACAATTGCAGTGATTCATTTAACAAATGTGGCAAGAAAAGTGGTCAAATGGGGCAAAACTCACTTAACAAATTTCTCACTTAGCAACATAAAGTTGGGGCTCAATTGTAAATCAAGGACTATCTGTACTTCATGGCAATTCTTGCAGCTAGCCAAGTTCTAGAGGCAGCGTGTCACATAGGCAAAAGTCTCCCTTTCAACATATGGATCACAGCTGGCCAAAGTATCCATGTATACTTTATTGCTTGTCATGATTCTCAGATTCAAGCCAACAGTGTTGTATTCACTTACCTTGAAGCATGCCCATTCAGTTCCAACATACAGATATGCTAGAACAGTGTTTCTCAACCTTGACAATTTTAAGGCATGTGGACTTCAACTCCCAGAATTCCACAGCCAGCAATGCTAGCTGTGGAATTCTGGGAGTTGAAGTCCACATGCCTTAAAATTGTCAAGGTTGAGAAACACTGTGCTAGAAAGCTCAACAACTGAAAAAACAGCAGCTAATTTCTGAAAATATCAAGTAAGCGATAACAACAAAACCTCTTAAATGAATTAATCTTTAATTTCAGAGTAGACTGGAGACTTGTTTAAGGATATATATACTTCCATTACTAGGGGAAGTTAAATATGATAACCGAACAACAAACATATAATGTGTCTGTTTCTAGTCCTCTAAATATTTTATTACTTACCAAGCACTCACGTACTTGTTAAAATAGGATACTGGAATACATGATGCCTTTTTCAGAATCAGCCCAATATCAATATTTCTACAATAATATGTAGAAATAATTAAGCCACTACTAGACTGCTAGTCTTATTTTGAACAGAACAAACTTAAGTTCAGGTATTGATTTCTTTTTTTAATCTATTGGCTGGAGACACTGCAGAATTTTCTAAAATAGCTCTACAATTTAAGTCCTTTTCAGAATCCGCAAACAGCATGTAATTACAGGCTTTTAAAATGGTTTCCTAATTCTTCTATCCTTATCTATTTTTTTAAACAGATTTTTCCTTTTCTACAGCTGGTTATACAAAGAGAGTCTGACATTTCTCTAGCTTTAATATACATAAAAGCAAATTCTCCTGAAATTAGTTAAAATTATGTGAACCAGGGCTTTTCTCCCAGCATGCACAGATGCTTTTTAAGATTGCAGCTGATAAATAAATGCAGTTTTAAAAAAATTTCAAAGAAAGCCATACTAGAGAAATAATTAGGTTTCAGACAGCTCTGGGGGAAACAAAGAGAGGAATGAAATAGTTCTGCTAAAAACCAATACACATCTTTTGGAAAATGGTTTTTTTCCCCTTAGATCATTGATTTTCCTTTATTCAAAGACCACAATCTATTGGTGAAGAACCCTTCCCCCCCCCATTATACGCTTGTTTAAGTATACTTTAATGGTTATTTCTTCCCTGTATATTTTTGGGATAGCCATATTAATACTGGTGCAATATTAATTAGCATCTTCATCTGTGTCCAGCATAGGTAGAGGTTTTGACACCACAGTCCAATCCCTCCCCAAAAGGGATTTAAACCAGCCACTTTCAAGAGGCACATTCTGTAGCAACAGAGTAGTTATAAAGGTGGTTTTTCTGTTCTTTGGACCTCAGCAAGCCCTTAAGATTCAACAGGGAGGCTGTGCAACAACCAGGAAAGTGTATAAATCTTTCACAACACAACACCTGGGCCTGACGGACAGCAAAGGCCACGGGGAGGGGAATGCCGATTGTATCCAACCTATGGTAAAGACAACTGCATTGAAATATGGTTACTCTTGCCAGTGACATAACCAAACCTGGCTACTGCAGCTTGGAGGCATCACGATTTTGGAAAACGGGCGAGGATATAAAGAAAGGAGGAAGGGGGGTGGAAACCAGAGGATGATTAGACCTGAGGATAAACATTATGGAGCAAGGAGATCAGTTGCTGCTTCCGAAGAAAAATTAAACCTCCTTTAAACCCACCTTCTTTTAACGGTGTGGATTGTATTTGCCCGGAATTAGAAAGGCATAATGGGGCGGAGAGGGGGGGGGTCTCAAGAGGATCCAAACAAGGCTGGCCTTTGGAGGGGGGGGTCTCCTCCGAAGTGCCCGTCCCAGTTAATCTCATGGCAACCCCGGGGAGAAAAGGAGAAAGCGGCTGCGCGGCAAAGCCCCTCAGGGGAGGCGCAGCGATAAGAGTCCTTTTCCAGGGGCGCTTCGCCGCCACCTGGGTCCCCGCCAATGCCACTCGCGGCGCCCCCTTCTTACCAGAGGGTCAACAGCACCCCGATAATGGTCTGCCCTCGGAGGGAGGCGGGAAAAACCGACCGGGAGAGCCCGGCACAAGCTGCCTTTGCGCTCGGCGCCCCAGCAGATCCCGCGCAGTGCGGGGTCTCGCGGACCGGGAGCGCGTCGGCGGCTCCCCACAAGGGCGGCCCGAGGGCCCGAAGCCACCCCGGGAGAGCGATGCCCGAAAGAAGCAAGCAAGCGCGAGGAGCCCAGCAGAGCCAGGAGGACGGATCCCCGCTATCCCCTTTGTCCTCCCCGTCCTTCTTCCTCGGTTACCTGCTAATTCATCCGGCTCCAAGCCGCTGTCGGCGTCGATCCCGCACAGCACAAAGTAGTGGGCGAAGCGGCAGGGCGCTGAGCCGGAGCCCGGCCCCGAAGGAGCCCCGCTACCACCGCCACCACCGCCGCTCATCTCTTCCCAGCTCCGGCTCTCGCCTGGCCCGCTCGCCTTCGCTCCCCGGCAGGCGCGATCCCAGCGGCGCTCTTAACGCCTCCGCCGCGCTTCCTCCATGGCGCAAGTCCGCCCAGCCCGGCTGGCGGCCTCCCTGGCCACGGGGCGCACGGCCGGGGTTGCGTCGGCGCGGCTGGCGACGGTGCGGGCGCCCCTTGGTCAACTGAGGCTGCAGCGGCGCCCAAAGCCAGCCAGGCACCGTCCCGCGGCCCCTCCTCCCCCCGCAGCGCCGCCGCCAATCAGAGCCGCGGGAGGAGAAAGGAGGCCCACGAGCCGCTTCCGCCCCGCCTCTTCGGCGGGTCATTTAAATCGCTCTCCGCCCCGAGAAACACAGCGCCGGAGTGGGGAACTGCGGCAAAGCCAGCGGGGAGGTGGGTACCAGCCGAAACTGCTGACCCCATCTCATTTGAGGCTCGTACGCCGTAGGAAACCATCTGGTACAAAGAGTTTACGCTCCGGTGTAACTCAGACAATTAAGAGAGTACAAATCTGAATAACAAGGTGCATAAATGTTACCTAAATAGTGTCTTTTCAATTCATGGACACCTTCATGAAGTTTCATGTTTGACCTCCAAAATTTACAGGTAGTCCTCAACTTACAGCAGTTCATTTAGTGACTTTTCAAAGTTACAACAGCACTGGAAAAAAGTGAGTTATGACCGTTTTTCACACTTATGACCATTGCAGCATCCCCATGGTTGTGTGATCAGGATTCAGATGCTTGGTAACTGGTTCGTATTTATGACGGTTGTAGTGTCCTAGGGTCATGTAATCATCTTTTGCAACTTTCTGAAAAGCAAAGCCAGATTTACTTAACAACTATGTTACTAATTTAACAACTACAATGATTCACTTGTGGCAAGAAAAGTCAAATGGAGCAAAACTCACATAAATCTTTCACTTAGCAACATAGATTTTGGGCTGGGTTGGGGTCGTAAGTTGACTATCTGTATTATATAAAAATGATTTAATACTACTTTAACTGTGTATGCCTTTGTTTTTGACTCCTGGAGACTGCCTGGACAATACCCTGCTGTCTTCTTGGCAAAGTTTTTCTCCCCATAATAGTTTGCCATTGCCTCTTCCTAGGGCTGAGAGTGTGTGACTGGTCCAAGGTCACTCAGCTGGTTTTAGGACCAAGGTGGGATGGACTTCTATCTTGATACCTTAACAACTACACCAAACTGGCTGTCCTAATTTAATTTATACTACTATTAATAACTAACAGTAATAATATGGCTTCTTTCATTGGAGGCTGACCATCCAATCGTGGGTAACACTGTCTCATCAGCCACTCAACAGTGCTAGAGATTGGCATGGACCTCTACCTCAAAAGCTTAATTGATCCCAATCCCAATAAGTGATTCCATTTACTGTCCCCTTGGATAGACTCATCAACTTTTGGGGATCAGTATTTATCACTTTGGAAAACCCTGGTCTAAAGAAATCCAAAAAGTATTAAATAAGGTTTAAGTTATTTAAGCAAAAATGTAAATGTTCACTTTTATTAAAACAGCCTAGTTTTAAATACCGGAAAAACCAAAGAGATCATTGTTGATTTCAGAAAAGGCAGGCACAGTGACACTTCTCTGTGCATTAATGATTCACCTGTGGAGATGGTTTGTTGTTAATTGCGAAGTCGTGTCCGACCCATCGCGACCGCATGGACAATGTTCCTCCAGGTCTTCCTGTCCTCTACCATCTTCTGGAGTCCATTTAAGTTCACAACTACTGCTTCAGTGACTCCATCCAGCCATCTCATTCTCTGTCGTCCCCTTCTTCTATTGCCCTCAATCTTTCCCAGCATTAGGCCCTTCTCCAGTGAGTCCTTCCTTCTCATTAGGTGGCCAAAGTATTTGAGTTTCAACTTCAGGATCTGGCCTTCTAAAGAGCAGTCGGGGTTGATCTCTTCTAGGACTGACCGGTTTGAACGCCTTGCAGTCCAAGGGACTCGCAGGAGTCTTCTCCAGCACCATAGTTCAAAGGCCTCAATTCTTTGGCGCTCAGCCTTTCTTATGGTCCAACTTTCACAGCCATACATTGCAACTGGGAAAACCATGGCCTGGACTATACGCACTTTTGTTGGCAGGGTGATGTCTCTGCTTTTTAGTATGCTGTCTAGATTTGCCATAGCTTTCCTCCCCAGGAGCAAGCGTCTTTTAATTTCTTGGCTGCAGTCCCCATCTGAGGTGATCTTGGAGCCCAGAAAAATAAAATCTGTCACTACCTCCATTTCTTCCCCATCTATTTGCCAGGAATTGAGAGGGCTGGATGCCATGATTTTGGTTTTCTTAATGTTGAGTTTCAAGCCAACTTTTGCACTCTCCTTCTTCACCCGCATCAAGAGGCTCTTTAGTTCCTCTTCACTTTCTGCCATTAGAGTGGTATCATCTGCATATCTTAGGTTGTTGATATTTCTCCCGGCAATCTTAATTCCAACTTTTGATTCATCTAGCCCTGCCTTTCTCATGATGTGCTCTGCATATAAGTTAAATAGGCAGGGCGACAGTATACAGCCTTGCCGGACTCCTTTTCCAATTTTGAACCAATCAGTGGTTCCCATGTCCAGTTCTCACTGTTGCTTCTTGACCCGCATATAGGTTTCTCAAGAGACAAATAAGATGGTCTGGTACTCCCATCTCTTTAAGAATTTGCCACAATTTGTTGTGATCCACACAATCAAAGGCTTTAGCATAGTCAATGAAGCAGAAGTAGATGTTTTTCTGGAACTCCCTAGCTTTCTCCATGATCCAGCGTATGTTGGCAATTTGATCTCTAGTTCCTCTGCCTCTTCGAAATCCTGCCTGTACTTCTGGTAGTTCTCGATCCACATACTGCTGGAGTCTAGCTTGTAGGATTTTAAGCATAACTTTACTAGCATGTGAAATGAGTGCAATGGTGCGATAGTTTGAACATTCTTTGGCATTGCCTTTCTTTGGAATTGGAATGTAAACTGACCTTTTCCAATCCTGTGGCCACTGTTGAGTTTTCCAAATTTGCTGGCAAATTGAGTGTAGCACTTTTACTGCATTGTCTTTTAAGATTTTGAATAGCTCAGCTGGAATACTGTCACCTCCACTAGCTTTGTTGTTGCTCAGATTTTCTAAGGCCCATTTCACTTCACATTCTAGGATGTCTGGTTCGAGGTCAGTGACCATCTCATTGTGGTTATCTGGGACGTTAAGCTCATTCTTGTATAGTTCTTCTGTGTAGTTTTGCCATCTCTTCTTAATCTCTTCTGCCTCTGTTAGGTCTCTGCCATTTTGGTCCTTTATCATGCCCATCTTTGCATGAAACATTCCCTTCATATCTCCAATTTTCTTGAAGAGATCTCTGGTCCTCCCTATTCTGTTGTTTTCTTCTATTTCTTTGCACTGTTCATTTAAGAAGGCATTCTTATCTCTTCTAGCTACTCTCTGGAATTCTGCATTCAATTGGGTGTATCTTTCTCTTTCTCCTTTGCCTTTCGCTTCCCTTCTTTCCTCAGCTATTTGCAAAGCTTCCTCAGACAGCCATTTTGCTTTCTTGCATTTCTTTTTCTTTGGGATGGTTTTAGTTGCTACCTCTTGTACAATGTTGCGAACTTCCATCCATAGTTCTTCAGGCACTCTGTCTATCAGATCTAATTCCTTAAATCTATTTGTCACCTCTACTGTATATTCATTAGGAATATGATTTAGTTCATACCTGAGTGGCCTAGTGCTTTTCCCTACTTTTTTTAATTTAAGCCTAAATTTTGCAACGAGAAGCTCATGATCTGAGCCACAGTCAGCTCCTGGTCTTGTTTTTACTGACTGTATAGAGCTTCTCCATCTTTGGCTGCAGAGCACATAGTCAATCTGATTTCTATGTTGACCGTCTGGTGATGTCCATGTGTAGAGCCGTCTCTTGGGTTGTTGGAAAAGAGTGTTTGTTATGACCATCGTATTCTCTTGACAAAATTCTATTAGCCTGTGCCCTGCTTCATTTTGTACTCCAAGGCCAAACTTGCCTGTTATTCCGGTTATCTTTTGGCTTCCTACCTTAGCATTCCAATCCCCCATGATGATAAGGACATCATTTTTTGGTGTTAATTCTATAAGGTGCTGTAGGGCTTCATAGAACCGGTCAATTTCATCCTCTTCAGCACCAGTGGTTGGGGCATAGATTTGGATTATTGTAATATTGAATGGTTTGCCTTGGATTCGAATTGAGATCATTCTGTCATTTTGGGGATTGTATCCCAGTATTGCTTTTCCTATTCTTTTATTGACTATGAAGGCTACTCCATTTCTTCTGAGGGATTCTTGCCCACAGTAGTATACCTGATGGTCATCTGAGTTAAATTCACCCATTCCTGTCCATTTTAGTTCGCTGATTCCTAAGATGTCGATGTTCAGTCTTGTCATCTCTTTTTTGACTACGTCTAGCTTGCCTTGATTCATGGATCTTACATTCCAGGTTCCTATGGAGAAAAAATCTTTACAGCATCGGACTTTCCTTTCACCACCAGATATATCCACAGCTGAGCATCCTTTCGGCTTTGGCCCAGTCGCTTCATTCTTTCTGGTGCTACTAGTACTAGCCCTCTGCTCTTCCCCAGTAGCATATTGGACACCTTCCAACCTGAGGGGCTCATCTTCCAGCGTCATATCTTTTTGCCTTTTAGTACTGTCCATGGGGTTTTCATGGCAAAGATACTGGAGTGGTTTGCCATTTCCTTCTCCAGTGGATCACATTTTGTCAGAACTCTCTGCTATGACCTGTCCATCTTGGGTGGCCCTGCACGGCATAGCTTATAGCTTCATTGAGTTACACAAGCCCCTTCGCCACGACAAGGCAGTAATCCATAAAGGGGGTGGAGATGGCTACCAGCATCAAATTCCTGGGTGTGCAGCTAACGAATAGGCTGACTTGGTCGCTCAACAGTGAGAAACTGGTGAAGCGGGCACAGCAGCGCCTGCCTTTTCTGCGCCGCATGAGAAAAGCCCATCTTCCTTCCCCTGTCCTGACCACTTTCTACAGGGGGACAATCGAGAGCATCCTGTCATACAGCATCACAGTCTGGTTTGGAGGCATCACTGTTTCAGACAGGAAGGTGGTGCAGAGAGTGGTGAGAATGGCCGAAAAGATCATTGGCAGTTCCCTCCCTCCCATCCAGGACATAGCACAGAAGCGCTGCTTGAGCAGGGTCCGTAAGATTATCTGGGACACTACACATCCTCTTCCCAACCGGTTGTCCT